CATGATATCTTAACAGTTTTCCATTTCTCTGTTTTGGGCATTTGTATATAAGCAGTGTCTGACGGAATGATGATCATCTTGAAAATGGTATTTGTTCGATTGATGTTGGGGCATCTTCAGTTTTCATTTTGTTTTGTTTGTAAGGGTAAGCTGAAGAAACTTCCACAGCGCAAAAACAACACTGCTCAGCCACTTCCAGTCAAAAACAAGCCTGTGAAGAAGAAGAGCAGCAGTGAGTCTTCTTCTTCTGATGATGATTCAGAACATGAAAAACTAGCCCCAAAGCCCAAGCGTGGTGAGTGATTAAAAGAAGTTGGCTTCTTAATTTAGATGAAGATCTAGATCAGTACTGCTAGAAAGCTGGGGATTGGACAAAAGATAAAAAATACGTGCAAAAGTAAATTACATGAGTATATGTTAATTTATGGCATTGCATGTTCCCCTTTAAATATATAAACCAGATTTTATGAAAACCTGGATAAAAAGAATGAAAAGCTAGGAGCTTACCTGTTGCTGTACTTAATGTTGTTTTTTTCCTTAATATTCTCTTCTGCTTGCTCTGAGGAGGACCTCCGTGCCAGCAGAATAGTCTACAAGTAGTAGTAGAGAGCAATAAGCCAACAGCTCCAGCTCAACAACAAAGGGCTGCTGGCCAGCCGCCTCCCCAACTGGCGGTCTCTGTTGCCCAGCCCTAGCCTTTCCCTTACGGAGTGGGGTGGCCACAACCGTATTAGGTTCCCCTGGGACCTCCCCCCCGCCAATCAGGGTGACATTCGATGGCAGCCTGGGAAAACTGACATTTTTGCTAAATCGGGTGTGGACACACCTAGATCGCTATCCAACTGAAGATGTTGATGTTAAAGGTTAAAATTGGAATATTGTAATTAGAAATTAAGAATTAGGTAAAATTTAAAAACAGGATATGGATATGTGCAAACAAAAAATAGATTGACAAATGTTTTAATTGAGCTTGCTATGGTTAGAAACTTACTAGTTTCACTATGTTATATCAAATGTTAGCAGGAAATAGAGAAGGAATTTTTGACAATGTAACCTGAGTCATGTACTAAAAATGCTGTCACTGAACTATTGATTACCCGGTCACCACGTTGCTTTCTACGTGGATGTTAAATTGGAAAATTAATAACATCTGTATAAATAAAAACGTAAATGTTCATTTGTTCAAAATCTTAAATCTCCGAAAGTTCTTCACCGATTGCTTTGAAATTTTGACACAAAGTTGCATTCGAATACGCGCGTGTTTTTATATACCTACTATTATATAGATATCACACCTGTGACAGGTAAAAACATGCTTTTTTGAAAAACAGCGTCATCTGTTGGACGTAAAAGCAACATACGCTAGGCATTGTGAAATTAAACATATTACAAACGTGCGCTTTCTCTTTTCTTTCTTTTCCATTTAACCAGACTGAGCCACAGCAACGCATGGCCGGGTACAGCTAGTTTGTTATAAATAAAAAAAAAAATCAACTTTTTTTTCTAAATTGTTTTTCATTTTCTGAAATAATACATTGATAAATATAGATGAATGTGAACAATTTCCTCGGTAGATACACTTTTTATATTTTATATTGCTACATTCCGCATGTGTGTGTGCACGTGGGCGTAATACATACAAATGCACACACGTATAGGATGTAGCAGTTGACAGGCTAATCCCAAATTGTTTTTTTCCAGAGAAAATGTTAGAAAATGGGTTCAAGAATGTACAGAGGTCATTCATCAAATGGATAAGAAAGTGTTTAGAAGAAAGTGGCAACTAATTTGAACATTTGATGAAATCTATGTAATTATATCACATACGAGATCTACGAGACCTAACCTGGTTTATCCTATATATGTTTGTGTGTGTGGCTGTCCTCTCCCTCCCTCCCTCCCTCCCTCCCTGCTGTCTGCCATCGCAGGAGAGTACTCTGCTGTGCCACCCCCTTTAGCCATAGAAGCAACGAAAGGCAAAGCACACCCCACTAAAAAGACCTCTAAGAAGAAGGGAGAAAATAGTAAGAAAAAAGAGCAAGCAAAGAAACCGTCAAGTAAGTTTCATAAATGACTTGTATACAACGCTGATTAGATGTGCATATTTAAAGAGATCCTTTCAGATATATTTTTCTTTTAAAAGTGCTTGGTTTTTGACAAGAGTTTAATGTATGGGAGAGAAATATAGTCCTGTGGTAAATAAGTTCTTTTTAATGAAGAAACATTTCCTTTATTTATAGAAGGAATTTCAAATATAGGAAAGGGTGCATTATTCCAGTGATGGTGAACCTTTTAGAGACCGAGTGCCCCAAAACCACCCCACTATCCCCGTCCCCGCTCTGCCTTGCCCACTAGGCCACCCACCACCTCCACTGCCCGCCACAGATCACCCAGGCAGCCCAGCAGCGCCATGGTAGCCACGCCCTCTGCCCAGGCCCCGCAGCATCATCTGCGCGCGACGGGGCGCAAGGGCAGAGTCTTGTCCCCGCTGCCCGGCTACCATGTCCTTGGCTGCGCTGCTTCGTGTGGGCCGTGTCCAGGGGCGACTCTCCTCCGGGGGAGGGCTGCTGGTGAGGGGGCCGTGGGAGGAGGTGGGGCTGGGGAGACAGTGTGTGTGTCCACAGAGAGGGCTCCGAGTGCCGCCTCTGGCACCCGTACCATAGGTTCGCCACCACTGCACTATTGTATCCCTGTGTTTCTCTTTTTTGTGTATCTGAATTTCCCCCAAGTCGTTTTTGCCACAACATGACAATATATTTTGTCAAAGTATGGTAGGTTATTAAAACAAGCTTTTAATATTTAATGCATCTCTCAAAATAAAAATCTATTTATTACTTACAGTTATTTATGCATCCTGCAGCCCTCAGCCATTGGGAAAAATTCACCTGCAATAACATTCTCTATTTTTGTTTGAACTGAGCCACCATGGTTTTATTCAACAGATCATAGTTAAAATAGGCTTAACACTCTTTGTGAATCCAATCTTCTTCTCTTACCATCTCATGCAAGAGAGACAAATTCTCATCAGGGTCATCTTTCTGGATGGATAATGTTTTTTTATAATTTAATTAGTATATATTTTCATATATTTTATCAACTTTCACATCTGGATTGGTACATTGTTAATGGTCATAAAAAGATACTTTGCATTAACGACACATATAGACCTTAAATGTTATAGTAAACGTAGTATAAACAGTACAGATAATTTTTATTCAATCTATAAAAACTATTTGCAGTTATTTCTACTGACGACAACTATAGTTTTAAATTGCAGTAATAGATGTAGATGTTCCTACATGATCCCAGCTTGACAGCATATTTATAAACTATTATCTTGGAATTGTCACAGGGAATATAATGAAACCTTTATATATATTTTTCTCTAGCTGAAGGGGCTACGATTAAAAAAGCATCTGCTCCCAAATCTCTTCCTACTTATATCCAAAAAGGACATAATTCTTCAGAGAGCGATTCAGGTGAGTACCCTATCATGTAACATATGATCTCTCTTTTTAGGGAGTTATATAGTGTTGATAGTTATAAGCAACCAAATACAAAATGCTGTCAGTACTATATAATCTTCCAACATTTCTGAGGAAAAATTAAATGCTCCAGTATAAATGAAAGCTGTGTGTGTTTTATTTAGATTCTAGCTCTGAAGAAGAAGAAGAAAAGAAAGTTTTGGTCAAATGCTCTGCCAAAGCCATTTCAGCAAATGGTCCTGCTAAATCGGTTCCATCCAAGAAGGCGAGCAGCTCCTCTGATTCCTCAGGTACCGTGGATAACGTGGTAAATCAGTTGTTTTCTGTTCTACTATCTTGTATTATTTCATTGAAGAGCAGGTATTTTGTTCAATCTTCAGTTACTTATAGACAGAAATACAACACAAAAAAATCTGTCGTTAATATTTCTCTTACATGGCATGCTTACACCAGGGCTTTTCAACCTTTTCAACCCATTGTGCCACTTTTAGGATATGGCAACATCCGAGTACCACCAGTCACCTAGCAAGGTGTCAAAAACTTGATGACCAAAAAAAATAAAAAGGAAAAAAGTGATGAAGTACAGATAGTCCTCGACTTACAACAGTTCGCTTAGTGACTGTTCGAAGTTACAGTGGGACTGAAAAAAGTGCCCCCCAAAGCACAGCCGAGCAAGACACCTGCCTGCCCGCCCAGCGGCGCTCTTCCTCCTGTCCGAGGTTTTCATTGTGAGCATTTCTTTTGAGGATTGGCAGCGCGGGTGGGGTGAGGGGTGTTTGGTTTTTATTCCCCCCGTCTGCTGGGTGGTTGCAGCAGGTGATGGTCACTTCACATGACCCTGGGACACTGTGACCGTCATAAATATGAATCAGTTGCCAAGCATCTGAATGTAAATCACAAGACCCTGGAGATGCTGCAACATTCCAGGTGATCGGTGCTTCTTCTGGGCTCAGCAGAAGCACCAGGATCAGCGCCGAGCTCCAGCTGGAGCCTAGCACTGATCCTGGTGCTTCCACTGAGCCCTGACAGCCCTGCAGCTCCAGCCATCTCTCACTCAGGCTTGTGTGGTGCTGCCACCAGTTCAGCTCATTCACCTCCCCCGCTACCACTTTTCTAGGATGGTCGCGTACCACTTGCCAGGTGCCAATGTACCACAGGTGGTACCCGCACCACTGGTTGAAAAGCCCTGTTATAAGCAACCAAATACGAAATGCTGTCAGTACTATATAATCTTCCAACATTTTTGAGGAAAAATTAAATGCGCCAGTATAAATGAAAGCTGTGTGTGTTTTATTTAGATTCTAGCTCTGAAGAAGAAGAAGAAAAGAAAGTTTTGGTCAAATGCTCTGCCAAAGCCATTTCAGCAAACGGTCCTGCTAAATCGGTTCCATCCAAGAAAGCAAGCAGCTCCTCTGATTCCTCAGGTACCGTGGATAACGTGGTAAATCAGTTGTTTTCTGTTTTATTATCTTGTATTGTTTCATTGAAGAGCAGGTATTTTGTTCAATCTTCAGTTACTTATAGACAGAAATACAAAAAATCTATCATTAATATTTCTCTTACATGGCATGCTTACAGTACCAAAATTTAAATTTAAAATACATCTGTTGTGATTCCGTGCCAGCCTGTGATTCGAGTAGTTGAGTATGGGGAATCGGAGGAGGAGGGGCCTGGAGAGCCATCAGAGTCGGAGGGAGGCTCTGATCTGATGAGCTGTAGGTTTTACAGACTGATGAGGAGGCTGGTCCTTCCATTCGTGATGGAGCTGAGAGCCAGCTGTGCTGGGAAGCTGAGTTGGACTCGGAGGAAGCACAGCTGGAAGACCTCAGAGACGCTCGTAAACGTAGGCAAGTCACACGAGTAGGACAGAGGGAGGCAATGGGGCAACTCCAGGGGAAGAGGAGAAAGCAATGAGAAGCCACACCTTGGGGGCTGCGTAGCAAAAAGGGAATGTGTGGGCAGGGCTGGTTGCTGGAGGCAACTGTTTGCAAAGAACTTCAGAGTCGAGAGATCATGGTCTGTTTATTTTGCTTGTGAGTTATTTCCTGTTTGACTCGTGCTCCGTGGTGCTTTTGGACAAGGTCTCCATTGGAAAAGTGTTCTGTTGCTTTATGTTTTCTGGGACAGTTATCAGGTCTGTAACTCAAATAAAAAGGGTTTATTTTCCAATCTACTGTTAAAAGAGGGGTTGTCTTTGTGAAGTAACAAGGACGTACGTAGGTCTGGGACAGAACAACATCATAAGTAAGCAATAAAGAATTATGAATTGTTAAAACAAGGTACTTAGGTAGAGGTTTGTCCTCCGAGCTTGCTGTTTGTTCCCAGATGTTTCATTATCAAATTATGTAACATCTTCAGTGGGGTTAGGGGGGAAGTCCTGGGTGGTCAGTTGGTCTTGTGACTGGCTGAGTCATAAGACTGACTGAGTCACAAGACAGAATCACAAGATTGGTTCTGGCCTCATGACTTCTGACTGGTTGCTGTGAGGTGTGAAATTCTACTGATGGGGGTGATTGATCCTGTTGTCAGTTGGTGGTTCGGATGGTCTGCTTAGTTATTGGTTCATATACTGGTTCTAAGTCAATAGGTTTGTTGATGGACCCGTTGGTAGAATGCCAGGCTTTGAAAAACTCATGTGCCTGAGGGGTTTTGGCGTGGTCAATAACTTCGGCTTTGTCCCAGTCAAACAGGTATTGTTTGTTGTCTGTGTGACTGGCGATCAGGGACTTTGTGTCATGCCGTTTAACACCCAGCTGGTGTTCATGGATTCTGGATTTTAACTGTCATCCTGTCTGCCCAACATAGAACTGGTTGCAATTGTTGCAACTGATTCTGTAGGCTATGTTGGTGCTGTCTTCCTTCCGTGTTCTGATTTTGATCTCGGTAAGTTCCTGTCTGAGTGTAAATGTGGGTTTGTGGGCTATTGTTATTCCTAGGAGTTGCGGTAGCCTGGCAGCCACTTCTGATGTGCCTTTGATGTATATGACAGGACCTGTTTCCCGTGCTGCGCTTTTCTATGTGGCTTTCTGGGGTTTGGATGTTCTACATCGCAGTATGAAATTCCTGGGGTAGCCGTTGTGAAGAAAAACACTGAAGAGGTATTTCTCCTCTGCTTTTTAGGGATTTGGTGCTGCAGTGTGTTCTGGCTCTCTTGAAGAGGGTCTGGACACAGCTTGTTTTATGTGCTGTGGGGTGGTTTAGAATTTGGTTCATGTCTGTGGATTTCTGGTGTACACAGCTTGTCATTTCACCTTTCTTACAGTATGTCTCTTTATGTCCATGTTGAGGAAGCAGAGATGTTCGTTCTTTTCTTCCTAGCATATAAAGCTGTTCGTTCTTTTCTTCCTAGCATATAAAGCTGATGCCATTGAACATGTTGTTGAGCAGGCAACATGTGTCTCCTAGTTTTGGATTGTTTGAGGATGATGAGTGTGTCATCCATGTAGCGGACCCAAAGTGTAGGTTGGATGGTTGGCGGGACAGCGCATTTGAATTTCTGCAAGACTGCCTCTGCTATCTGGCCGAATATGGGTGGTCCCATGGGTGTGCCTTGTATCTGCTTGTAGATCTTGCCATTAAACCTGAACTGTGTTGTCAGGCACAGCTGTAGACAGGGAGTGTTTTCTGGGGGCGTTTTTGTCTTCTGTGAGCAGGTTGTGGATGTTTATTTGGCCAGGTTGATGTTGATGGAGGCGAATAGAGCAGTGACCTTGAAGGAGGCTATCATTTCTTCAGCATTTATTTTGATGTTTTTGATTAGTTGAAGGAATTGTTCATATCCACGGGAAAGCGTTGAGCTATCAATCGAGGTGGCGAAGTCTTCTTTGTAGTGGTTTCACTAATTTGTAGGTCAGTGCTTCAGGGAGTGTGCTATGATGGGACAGAGGGGGATTCCGTTTTGGTGCACTTTGGGGGGTCTGTAGAACTTTGGTATCGTAGAGTCCTGTAGTTGTAGGTATTTATTTTTGTGGAAGTTATTTGCTTTGTTTTTTCCATCTTCATCAGGGTGCTCTATATTTTGTTTTCCAATTGTTTCGCGAGGTTGGTTTTGATGGTTTGATAGGTGCTGGTGTCATGCAGTAGGTCCTCGATTTTGTTGATGTAGTCAAGTTTTGTCTATTATGACGGTGAGTCTGTCTTTGTCCGCTGGCAGGATGACAATGCTTTCGTCCTTTTTCAGGTTTTTAGTGCTTGCCTTTCCTGTTGGTGGAGGGTCCTGTTGTGTCTGTTCCTCTGTCTGATGTCTTCCTGCGTCTCGTGATCGAAGTTGTTGGTTTTTAGTATGGATTCTATGGTTAGCTAGGAAGTCGACCAGGTCCACGTTTTTGTGATTGAAATTGAGGCCGTGTGTGAGTACGGCTTTTTCCTCTTTTGATAGCAGTCTGTTGCATAGGTTCTTGATCCATGTGTCAGAGTTGTCGTCTTGTGCTATGGGGTGATCTTGGCACGTTTCTTTTGCAGGTTGTCGCAGTTTGGGGTCTGGAGGGTTGGTTTTGTTCAGGGGTAGGCCACCTTGGCTCTTTTATGACTCGTGGACTTCAACTCCCAGAATTCCTGAGCCAGCCATGCTGAGGGGAAAGGGAGAGGTTTCCAAGCTGAGCCATGCTGGCTCAGGAATTCTGGGAGTTGAAGTCCACGAGTCATAAAAGAGCCAAGGTTGCCTACCCCTGGTTTTGTTGGATATTCTATTGATGGCATGTTCTAACTTGTCTGCGAGATCTTGTCCAATTGTGGTGAGGCACTTGGATTTGGTTCGTTGGTATTTTATTAGGCAGTAGTGTATGGCAGTGATCATGAATTTGAGCATTTTGCATCCAGGTTCCATGCTTGTGGGTGGTTAATGAGTGGTCTATAGTGCACTCTTTTTGGCAGCAATTTCTTGCAGAGGCATTTGTGGAGGAAGTGTAGTAAGTTGTTCGTGGGTCGACAATTGTCTGATGGCGAAAGTCTCCCAGTGGTGAGCAAGTTTAAGTGGTTTTTGCCCGTGCGGTTTAGGAATTGTAGAGAATATTCGTAGTTCGGGTTGTAGATTTAGGCCGAGGTCTGTCCTTCAAGCTTTCTACCAATAGGTCCATCAACAAACACATCGATTTAGAACAGCGCTTTTCAACCGGTGGTATGCGAACCATTGGTGGTACATCGGCACCTGGCAGGTGGTACACTTACGTTGGGTTGAAAAGCACTGTAAAAAAAAGTGTAAAAGACCGGTTCTTACTTTCGGGGAAACATGGTACTTAATTGCTCTCAACAATTTCTCTACTGTCCTGAAGCCCAGAAATAAAACACCTGCTTTGCTTCTGAAAGGTAGGAAGGAATTGGCTTTTTAGATCAGATCATCCATGGGATTTATGTGGGTTTTCATACTCCAGATTTTTAGAGCTTAGTCAAAGATGCTTCTATTCTTGTAACCATCATCTTTTCTAGACTCCCTCCCCTGAAAAAAATAATCAGGTGCTGTGCTTGATTTTCTCTATGTTCAAAATACTGAGATTGTACTTTTGACAATATCAGTTTATTGTTCTGAACCTGCACTTTCCTCCACACAAAAAATATCTAAACTTTAAAAATACTGAGGATAATTAATTTTATGATATTATTATTATTTTTAATATTAGTATGGTATTGTTTAATATTTAGGTTATGAATATGTTTATTATTGTGTTTAATTTGTTTAAATTTGTGTTAAAGGGGAGTTAAAGTGTATTATGGACTTGGTTATTTTAATAGTTGGTTAATGTTAGATAGATTTTGATTATTATATTTGTAACCCTGTGTTCAGCTCTGGGAAGTGGGGGAGGGGGAGGGTGGGGTTTTGGGGTGAGTATGGGGGTTTATACTGTAATCTTTATAAAACTTTTAATAAAAAAAATAAATACTGAGGATAAGATGCAGCGCAATCAGATTAGTTTGTCTCTTGCTGTTTTTTCTTCCTAGATTCTGATAGTTCTGACAGTGTTCCTGAGAAATGCGCAGTTAAGACAGGCATAAAGAAAGTGAAAAAACCTCCCGCAGTGCCGGCAAAGAAAGTAGAAAGTATCGTCAAAGATAAGACTGTTCATAAAAGAAAAGGCACAAAGGCTGTCAAAACAGCGCCCAAATCCAGCACCCCTGTCTCTAAACCAAAGAGTTCTGAGTCAAGCAGCTCCAGCAGTGAAGAAGAGACTCAGCCAACCAAGAAAGCAGCTAGCAAACTCTCAGGGGCTGGCAATTTGGTCATCAGCAAGCAAGCCCCAGCTGAGAGCAGAACCTCTTCCGAGAGTTCCACCGATGAACAATTTAAAATATCTGAACAAAGAGAAAGAAAGAAAGAACAAAATAATTGCAAAGCAGCAAAAAAAGCGCTAAAACCCTCAGCCAACTTGGTGGGCAAAACATCTGCATCAAAGACTTCAACATCTGAAGTGCCGAATACGGCAAACAACGGTAATTCTGATGAAGAGGCCACAAAAGAAGGTTAGTCATTTTTCATGCGGGAGGTATTAAATAGAATGGAGCTAGTTTGGAAATAACACCAAATCGAATACCATAAAATAAAGGGGGGAAAAATGTGATGGAATGTGCACCTTTGAGAATCAATGGATAAGAGTTTTGTCAACATAGAGCTTTCCCAGAGAGAGGCATGGAAGTCCGAAGCTGGATGGGTAGAAGGGAAGAGGGTCAAGGTAACCACACCTAGAATCTCTCAAAATAGATCTAGTAGGTTAGAAGGTTATAACTTTATTTAGTATGGCAAGATTCTGCTTGTTAGGGGTAAGCAGTTGAAGGATTGGACTCATTTGGATCTTGCTGTGTTATCTTTGGGCTTGATTTAATATGATCGGTGAACATCATCCCTGTCTGTCAAGGAAGACTTTTTATAGCATCATTTTAACCATAGCTTAATCATGCTTTGGCTTAGACAGCATCAAGTTATAAACCACACTGAATTATTTTGCTTAGCATATTGTATGCGTCCAGACATTGGGTGAATCGGTTCCTACTGATTAGAGATATTTTAAATAACCATATCATACCTGAATTTATAGCACGAATGAAACTCTTTCTTTCCTGCCCCACTTAACCTGTTTATTGATTAGACTGCTACTTATTTAGGATGAGATGATCTTGTACAAGCTTACTATTCCTGTAAAATGTAGCAGGCTTATCCAAAAAAAAGCGGAAAAGGAAAAATGAACAAGAGTTGGAGACACTGGACATCAAGAAGATGAAACCCAGAGATCCTCATACATTCCCAAAATCAAAGCAGGTAAGGATTGAGAAAAAGAACTTTATGATTTTATTTATTTTACTTTATTTAACTTATTTGGCCGCCCATCTTACTACAGGTAACTCTTTCCTTCATAACTGCAAAACCTGAATTGTGTTTCACATGGTTTTTTGAAAGGAGGTGAGATATTATGAAATGGTCATGGGTGATTTTATATTAGTTGTAATGTTTGGAGACTCTTCAAAACAATTTCTCAACTAGAGAAACTCCTACATTGCCATTTTGAAGGATTTGTCTAGAAATCAGATATATCATAGGTGAGTAATCCTCAAGTTACAATTTCAGTTGGGACGGGATTGCTATTGCTAAGTGATGAGGCTTTGAAGCATGACATCATGTGACAATATCATTTAGTGATGTCTTGCAGTCCCAGTTATCACAATCCAAGATGCATGAGTCATTAAGCGGAGGGAACCCAGGTAATTAATAATGGGGGGGGGGGGAGGCTCAACACAGGCCACATGTGAGTTTGGGGGAGGAGATACTTGATGCTGAGCATAGAGTGCATGTGATTACAAGGAGGCCAAGAAAAAAAGCCACTGGGTTGCACGCATTCTTGTATCCAAGTGCTGAGAGGCCCAGGAAAGAAGGTGTGGAATGAGTGCAATTGCAGGGAGACTGTGGAAAGAGGATGCAGGGTACATGAGTATGTGTGGGAGAGATTGCAGGGAAGCCAAGTAAAGCGGGCACATGGGATATGTGCATGTGTGCGCCATGGAAATAGGATGTGGGTTGTGTGCATCTTCTTCTTGTGCCATATCGTTGGCGATCATGTTGGTGACCCTGTTTTTATCAGCAGCCGCACGAAAAAGTGCTGCTGAGTTTTGTCCAAACCAATCCCTTAGATTTTGAAGCCACGATGTTCTTCTTGTGCCTGGACCTCGTTTGTCTTCAGTCTTTCCCTGGAGGATTAAATGGACTATGCCGTATTTTTGTGGGTGGCGCATCACATGTCCGAAATATTCTAATTTTCATTTTTTAATTGTTTTGATGATTTCCCTGGGCTTTCCCAGGCGGCTTATCACCTCATTTCTGATCTTGTCAACCCAGCTTATACGTAGCAGCCGCCAGTAAATCCACATTTCAAAGGCTTCCAGTCTCTTCAGATGGCCTTCTGTCAGGGACCAATTCTCTACTCCATAGAGCAGGATAGAAAAAATATAGCATCTGACAAGCCTGATTTTCAGTCTCAGGCTTATGTCGTGACTGCAGAAGATCTTTTTCATTCTGAAGAATGCTGTTCGAGCTTTCTCTATCCTTGTCTTTACTTCAGCGGTCATGTCCCAGCTTTCATGTAGATGTTGTGTGCATGCATGTATGTAATTGCAAGGAAGCCGGGGAAAAAGAGTCTGGGTTGCATGCAAGTGAAGTGGGCAAGGAGAGCCACAATGCATGTGTGTGAAGAAAAGTTGGGCAGGCACTTAGCCCAATGGCTTTGAACTTTCTTTGCTGGCTTCCTATTGACTTTGCCTTTGCTTGGAGGAAGCCAGCAGGGATGCTGAAGTGGCAAGAACTTTGAGGACTGGTCATAAATCCCTTTTGTTTAGCAACTTGAATGATGACGTCATGAGGACTATCTGTATCTTTTTTTCTTCTGCAGCAATCCAGTCCTTTTCGCAGAATAAGAACAGAAGAAATAGAAATAGACATGCGAGTAGCAAACAATTCCTTCGATGCCAAGGTAGGGATAAGCATTCCTCATGTAATAATCTCTACAAAATAGATATTACCTGGACAACCTATAACAAAATTGCAGTATTTGCCATTTGTTTGTTTGTTTGTTTTTGTGAAGTATACTCATAGACTCTGGACAGTGACAGTCTATACTGGACAGTCTATACTCATAGACTCTGGACAGACTCTGGACAAATGCAAAGTGATAAAAACCATTTATGCTCAATGTTTTGTGACTAATGATCATCAATTTTCTCATCTTTCCCAGAAAGGAGCTATGGGTGACTGGGGTGAAAAAGCAAATGATGTTCTGAGATTTACAAAAGGTAAATCCTTCCGACATGAGAAGACAAAGAAGAAAAGGGGAAGTTATTGTGGTGGCACTATCTCTACACAGATAAACTCCATCAAATTTGAAAGTGATTAAACTTTGGAAGGGGATTCCAATTAAACTCAAAAGTTTCTAACTTTGCATCATTTTGTGTTACAGCACACCTGATAATGTGATAAATAAATATACCTTCTTTTTAATTCTTCCTCTGATGCTCATATATATGGCAGGGATCAAATGTTTCTTGCTGTAAGGGTCTGCTTCCACTAGGTCTCCCAAGAAAGCTGAATTCTTGAAATAGGCATTGTTTCAAAAGGAACTTTTATTGAGAGTTAATGATAGCACTAGAAGAAAGCAAGGTCTGAAGATTTCACGGGCGGAAGGTTACATCAAAATCCCCGTTCATGGCTCCTCCCCCCCAGTGTCCAACAGTCCATTTGAATTCCAGCCAATCCATAGGTGCTATGATGTTTTGAGAACCTGCAATTTAGCGTCCATCTCAAGATCTCTCTCTGTTTCGGTTCCCAACGGTCCCAGGCTCCACTGTCTGGAGATAAGGCAGATGTCTTCAGGCCACATTCCTTTCTCAACATAGGGAGGGCGACTCGAGTAATCAGAGCAAATACATCCCCAGCAAGCAGGCAAGTAGCCCCCCTCCCACCAGTATGGTAGACCCTGAAAATGATTATATAAACAACTAAGGTAGTAATAAAATAATAAAATGCAAGCAAGTCAAATTAGAGGGATCTGACATGCACCTCCCCCTCAGTAGAATGACAAATCCATATGAAAAACAGAAAGAGGGAAGGGGAAAAGAGGAATAAATACACATCAGTCAGGCTTATCAGGATAACGAGCATGAAAATGCTTAAGTAGTCTAGGGGCTTTAACATGTTTCTTATAAACCCACTCGTTCTGTGAGGCAGGAAGGTCCTTCCCAAGCCACGAGATACTGAATAGAGCCGTAGTGTTTGCGAGACTCTAAAATGTCCTTAATTTCAAAATGTTGTTCACCTTCCGCCATAATGGGTGGTGGAGGAGGAATGGCTGCAGGCATAAATGTGAATGTAATTTCAGGCTTCAACTGCAATGGAAAACTGGGTGGATTTGTCTTAGACTTTCAGGGAGGTCTAGCTCAACTATGACCAGATTGATTTTGCGCTTAATAGGAAAGGGACCTTGTATTTTGGCCCTAATTTTTTAGAGGGCTGTAATGATTGCAGAAATTTGATGGAAAGGTAAATTTTGTCCCCTATAGGAAAAGGCTTTGGTTCCATCCATTTTTTATCTGCCTGAGCTTTATAGGCTGCCTTGGTTTTATCCAGAGCCTTCCTGAGAATAGGCCAAATGTTTTGTAACTGATGTACCCAGTCTTTAAGTGAAGGAATGGCAGGCTTGTTAGCGGGCAATTCTGGCATAGGGTTGAAAGTTTGTCCATTAGCTACTTGGAAGGGGGTAAAACCAGTGCTGGAATGCACTGCGTTGTTATAGGCTACTTCAGCAAACGGTAGCAGGTCAGTCCAATTATCCTGTTGATAATTAATAAAACAATGTAGATACTGTTCTAGAACAGAGTTCGTTCGTTCTGTCTCCCCATTTGTTTGAAGATGATGACCGTCCCTGATCAGAACCTAAAAGATCCAAAAAGGCTCTGCAGAACTTAGAAGTGAATTGGACACCCCGGTCTGAAATTATGCGTTGTGGGGCTCCATGTAACTGATAAATATGCTGCACAAACAATTTGGCCAACATTTTTGCAGTCGGGATCTTTTGACATGGGATGAAATGGGCCTGTTTTGAAAATAAGTCGGTAACGACCCAAATGACACTATTTCCGGCAGTTCCACAATAAAATCTATAGAGATCGCTCTCCAGAGCGCTGAAGGGCTCGCGACTGGCTGCAGGAGCCCAGGCATTTTTACTTGCCTCCTTTTAACAGCCGCACACCTGGCAACATAATTTCAGTGTCCTTTAACGAAGGCCACCAAAATTGTCTTTTTAGCAATTGAAGGGTGTTGACGAACCCGAAATGCCCCGCCAACTTTGAATCGTGACAGCACTGCATAATTTTCAGCTTCAGGGCAGCTGGGACATACCGTTTTCCGCCAACCCATCTTTCACCGAACAAAGGTTTCCATGGCCCCCAAAACCACTCGTCCTTCTCCAGTGCTTTTTTTAATTCTGCCACTGCTGCATTGTCCAACATTGGGGTGCCCTTAGTCTGCGCCTTGGTAGTGACCAGCTGCTAATTGTTGTGGCGAAAACAAAGGTTTAACTACCCCTGACTTTACGCTGGTGTATTGCGGCATTCTCGACAAGGCATCTGCCAGGAAATTTTTTCCCTGCTGGCGGAAGTCAAGGGATGAACTCGATCGAACATGGGTAAGAGCTCCTATTAAGGCCTATCTTGTGGTGATTCAAGCGGTGAAGTGTAAATGCTTTTCCACACTATTTGCGTCTGCAGATAATCAACCAATGACCCTCTTTAAGGTGAGCTGTCTCCTAGGGAAGAAGGAGACTGAGGTCCACCTGAAGGGGTGCGCTGAGAAATTTGTGGATTTTCTGGAAGACAAAATAGCTCAACTTCATTCCCAGTTAGATGCCAGTGTGGTTGCTGGACCGGCGGAGGCCCCTGAGGCAGGTTCTTGCACTGTTATCTGGGAAAAGTTTGAACCTGTTGCTCCTGTGGAAGTGGACAGGATCCTAGGGAGTATGCGCACAAGCATCTGTGTTTTAGACCCATGTCCTTCCTGGCTTATGAAAGCTTCCCGGGAGGTGATAGGCAGGTGGACTCTGGCGGTGATTAATGCTTCCCTACAGGAGGGATAGTCCTCCAGCTCTTTAAGGAGGCTGTGGTCTGCCCTCTTCTCAAGAAGCCATTGCTGGATTCCACCCTGTTGGATAATTTTCAATCTGTCTCCAATCTTCCCTTTTGGGGGAAGGTGGTTGTGATGACCTGGGGCACGGCACAGAGGCAACACAGTCAGCTGACAGTTCAAACCGCCCCTTTATTACTCCAAATGTTCCCCAACCGCTCCCATGTTTCTGGCAAGTCCCAGAGCAAAGTGAAGACACACACACACACCCCTCCAGCAGCCTCTGGCTGCAAGTAGTCCAGCACAAAGTTTTAAAATGAGCATTAATTATAGTTTTTCCTGTTTATTGATTTCCATCTCTGAAGAACGATAACACCTTTTAATTTACAAGGGTGAAGAAATCCAAATCAGGCTGCAATTTAAATTTACCTTTATTTTAAAATATGTCAAATAACCTCTCCCCATTGTGCATTTGTTTATACACAGACACATGCACACACACAAATATACACTCAAACATAATCATACACAATCCAACAGGTAAAAAGAAACAGACTATTTTTAAAGCATTATACTTTTTCAAGAAAACTATTCAGGCAAATTTTAAAATGTAATCGGCCCTGCTACTAGCACTCAATTTATTAACATCAAAACATAACTTTTAAAGAAAAATATATAATTTATGAGTATAAATTAACACTTTTTAGGGATCACCCATCTTCAGTAGTTTAAGGGGATGTTGGAGTAGCACCCCCCCAAACATGAGGAATTAGTTCCATAGTATCTACCCACTTCTCATTTTGCTACTCTTGAGATAAGTTACAATACGGTCAAGTAACAGGAAGCTACAGTAGATGAGCATGACTTCCTTCAACTCTTCCCACTATACATTCTTGCTACAGTAGGCTGCAGTTTTGTTGGTCATGGTTAACATCTATGGATTTTGATTTGTATATTTCTGGCTTCTGAAAAGTTCAGGAATTCTGGTGAATAAATTGTTGCTTACAAATAATAATCACATGTGGATGAGATGCTCAGGGCATTTTTCTTGTTTATTTTTGGGAATTTAAGTTATTGGAAAATGAAATGAGCCAGACCCTGTGTGTGTTTATGATAGCAATAGCACTTAAACTCATATACCGCTTCATAGTGCTTTACAGCATTCTCTAAGTAGAGTTAGTAGTGTATTGCCCCCAACTAATCTGGATCCTCATTTTACTGACCTCAGAAGAATGGAAGGCTGAATCCACCTTGAGCCGGTCAGGATCGAACTCCTGGCAGTCGGCAGAGTCAGCTTGCAATACTGCATTCTAACCACTGCACCACCACAGCTCCTGCTCAGTAGAAAATGAAATTGCACAGGGAAATGAAATATAATCCACAAACCTATTGGTTTTATACATTTAAATAAGTGTCCTGCAAAATTATTATATCATCTAGTGGTTTTGTTCCAAATTTGGTGACTTGTTGTCACTTTTCTCCAAATATCATTGCTCTTTTGATAACAAATTGACAGCTTCTATTTCAGTCATGGTAGCCAGAGATACTTAGGAGTACATCTATATATTTCTATGTCCTAGATCAGTGATGGCGAACCTTTTAGAGACTGAGTGCCCAAACTGCAACCCACTTATGCATCATCGAGTGCCAGGTGGGTGTGGCCCATTGGCCGGGTGTGGCCAATTGGGTGGGCGTGGCTGCAGTGGTAACGGCAGACTGGGTGGGACTAAAAAGTTCAATCAATTTCAACTTTGCAAGATCTTTTTTTTCCCCGCGAGAAGTTGAAATTGACTGATCGAACCTTTTTTTTTTTTTTTTGCACACGGCGGCGGAGGCCTAAAGCAAAAAGGTTTTATAAAACCCAGCTGAAGGCCTAGGACTGGGGCGACGGCGTGCGTGCCCACAGAGAGGACTCTGAATGCCGCCTCTGGCACCCGTGCCATAGGTTCGCCACCACTGTCCTAGATCTTCCACATAATTCATGGTATGTCTGCACATACATTTCCTTCCCATGCTATCAAATTACTTTTGGCACTTTTTTGTTACGATATGCTATTTTTTTTTTAAAGGAAACCGAACGTTTTACCCAGGGCATTTCATGACAAGCATTTATGCAATATACATACAGTAAATCCAAACCTGGTGCTTCAAGTACAGAATCTAGACTTCCTTATGTAAGCAAGAGTCAGTTGTATAAAGCACAAAATTGCAATAATTTTGTTGGCAAAAAAAACGTTCCTCTGTCTTAAATGAACTTTCAGTGAGGAAAAATATATACTTTACAAAAACGATAGTAAAAAGATTTGTAACAGTATTATAAATACATCTTTCTGGAATTCATCTGCAGGGGGAACTTTGTTCAGCTAATAGTTCATAATTAGCAGTGGAGGTTCTCATACTGGCCTATCCACAGCATACTGACACGGGCTCAGGCTGGATGCTGCCGTCTGCACTCCTGGGTAGGTGAAGTTGGCATGCTGTTTTGCCTTCAATCGCAAGCTAGCCAGGCTAGAGTTACAAGTATCCCTATACATGTAAGGATTGGCTGTGGATGCGTAGGGACAGGTAGTGGATGGAACTGCAGAGTTAAGACCAGGGCTATTAAGATTGTTAAGGCTTGGGCCTGGCACACCATTCACAGTTGGAGAAACCATTGAGGAGGGTACAGACATAGATCCTATAGAACTGGATGTTGAAAACATGGGCTGGGAAGAAATGGCATTGACATTCATGGAGTTGAAGAATGGGAAGCTCTTTGTTGACAGAGTGCTGGCAGTAAGTCCTTTGGTAGCCCAGTTATTATAGGAATAACTACTATACATCTCATCGTAAGGTTGCATCAGTCCATTGAACTGAGCTCCAAAACTATTCTTACAAAGTTCTGCCTGTTGATTTCTTTCCCGCTTCCTCCATTTGGCTCTGCGGTTCTTAAACCATACCTGTAAAAAAGTGATATAGTTTTTGTTATAAAATTATACGAGGCAACATGTTTGCTTTAGATATTTCTGGCCTTAGAGGCAAAGAACAAAGTAGATGTCAAAGTCTAGCCCAGGGGTAGGCCACCTTGACTCTTTTATGACTCGTGGACTTCAACTCCCAGAATTCCTGAGCCAGCCATGCTGAGGGGAAAGGGAGAGGTTTCCAAGCTGAGCCCTGCTGGCTCAGGAATTCTGGGAGTTGAAGTCCACGAGGCATAAAAGAGCCAAGGTTGCCTATCCCTCGTCTAGAGAATTAGTGTTATTCATAAAAGGAGAATCACACTGCAGATTTATACATATTTTATGAAAGTAAGCAATCAAAAAGCAGACAGATCTACATGTTCCTTGCAGGTTTGTACTTCACTCTTAAAAATCAGATACTCATTTCCTATTTTTCAGATTACTGCCTAAACTTGAACTGAGCATATGGATCTGCTGTTACTCTATCTGTTCTGACTTTCAAAGCTGATTTAGTAGCTTCTCCGCTATTAATTATCATTACTCCCAAGAGCTACTCAGATCAGATCCTATATTTCCTCAGTCCCCATTAGTTATAAAAAGTGATTAGGTGAAGGTTCATTGGTGTCATTTGATTAAAGCAGGGGTAGGCAACCTTGGCTCTTTTATGACTCGTGGACTTCAACTTCCAGAATTCCTGAGCCATCCATGCTGAGGGGAAAGGGAGAGGTTTCCAAGCTGAGCCATGCTGACTCAGGAATTCTGGGAGTTGAAGTCCACGAGTCATAAAAGAGCCAAGGTTGCCTACCCCTGGATTAGGGTAATATGAAGTATGAGCCTGCTGCAAAAAGAAAAGAAAGAAATTCCACGTTGGGAATAATCAGTAAAAAAATATATTTTTGAGTTTCTGAAACTTTTTATTTATTTATAATGGATTTGGATAGATGTGGTTTACGTGATTCCAGATATCTGTGGTTACCAGTAGTGTGTTTTTCTTTTTTTTAAATGTATGGTGCAGCACAGGTCAAAGATACATTCTTTCCTTTTAATTCTGGCTATTTTGATTCTGTTTTATTTTGAATACATTAAAAAGTATTTTACACCATAAGTGGGACAAAATATGGTTTATGAATGAGTACTAAGCATGCAACATTACATCTTGTATCAGAGGTCACAGTTTTATCAATCCAAAAGAAGAATTGGGAAAAGGGGAGCTACTGTTTGTGTCATATTTGTGAGCTTCCTAGAGATACCGTGTTTCCCTTTATTTTTTTTG